TTATGATGGGGGAAACCAGATTCACTTAACAATTTGCTACTAATTTAAGAACTGCAGTGATTCGCTTAACAAATGTGGCAAGAAAGGCTGTAAAATGGGGCAAAACTCACTTAACAAATTTCTCACTCAGCAACATAAATTTTGGACTCAATTGGTGTCACAAGTTTATTTATTTATTTATTTATTATATTATATTTCTTGGGTTGAGGACTACCTGTATGCAAGGTGTTTCCAAAATGAGCTTGGATCGTCATTCTAAGTGAGGACTACCCAACTGCATAACTGGATTGAATCCTGCCTTAGTCCTGCTGTTCTCCAACAAGCAGTTGCAACCAACCAACCAACCTAACCACACTGTTGCAAACGGATGGTCTGTAGCTGTAGGAGAAGGTGAGGCAGAGCTGGAGGGTGGGGTCAAATGTGTCATCGGCTTAGAGTCCTTAAATGAGGACCCAGTTTGTGGGGGCAATAAGCTGACTTTGTATAAATATACGAAAGTATGAAGGCTATTGCTTAACGCATTGTAAGCCACCCTGAGTCTCCGGAGAAGGGCGGCACATAAATCAAATTAAAAAAAAAAGTGGCCACAAATGATCCAAGTCAGCTCCCCTTGAATTCCTTTGGCCCTTAGCTAACATCACTTCAGTGCTCACCATGAGTTGACTAGATTAGTTAATGTCAGTGCAAAGGACCATTTTATGTTAAGCTGAGAAGTTCAGAAGATTTAGTTCTCAAACCTATATGCAACAATCTAGTCAACTCATGGTCAGCTCTAAATTGGCATGAGATAAAAATCAATGGAATTCAAGTGGGTGGGCTGGACTTGGACCTCTTGTGGCAGCATAATGTTTCAGCCTCTACCCTCAAAACAAAGCTATAGTGCACTGCACACCAGAACAACTAGACACAAGGACAGTTTTCCCCCGAACGCCATCACTCTGCTTAACAATTAATTCCCACAACACTGTCAAATAATTTACTAAGACTGTATTACTATTCTTCTTCTCTTCCTGACTAGTATCTATCTCTTTCCACTTATTACTATAACCATGTCGCTTGTATCTTTCAATTTATATTGTTTTTATTTGTTTCCTAGTACAATTTGATAGCTTATTAGTAACCTTGACTATCATTAAGTGTTGTATCTTTTTATTCTTGAGGAATGTAGATTTATTCTCCTTATGTACACTGAGAGCATAGTGTATACGATGCTTTGGTATACACCAAAGACAAATTCCTTGTGTGTCTAATCACACTTGGCCAATAAAGAATAAAGAATTCTATTCCATATGGATTCTAAGCTGATGACATGTTTAATTCTGCTCTCCCCTCCACGCCCCTGGCAAACTCTGCTTGTTCTTCTCCTACAGTAGCAGCTATTCTAAAAACTCTGTTTTTAAGACAGTGGCACTACCCAATGCACACAGCTCTCCTCCTCTCTAAAACTGACCTAACTCATTAATGTGCAAAATGTTCCCCGAGGCACTGCTGGGGGTGTCGAGAGCATTCCTATGGTTGATGGAAGAGCAGCAAAGATTGTTTGACAATGCTATTGTAACATGAGTATGACTTGCAGTACACCACAAGTTCATCAACCTATCTCTCTCTCATCCTTTTTCCTCTGCCTACGCATGTCTTAAGAACTGATCAAGTTGGGAAAATCATGTATTGAATTCAAGCTCCTCTGCTCTACAACATCCAAGAAGAGGGAGAAATTATTTTTCAGGGGCAATGAACACTAGAATTATACATCCCAATCCTTAGCAATGCCCAGCAAAAATACTTCATGAATGATAGATTTTCTCCCCTGCATTTGTTTCCCACTGTTATTTAATTTGATAAATGCAATTTTCTTTCAGAATTAGTTTTTTTTTTAAAAGAAAGGACAGATAAATTAAAAAATTATCAAAATATTTTCAAACAAGAGGAGAAAAGGGTAAAATTGTCAGAGGGTGTAGAGCTTATTAAATTAATATGTGTTGTTGTTTATCTACCTACTTTTAAGAATTGCTAAGGACGAGATGGTTTTTACTATATCCTGATATGCAAAACCATAGAATTCAAAGGGGGTGTACTTTCCTTTTCACTTGAGAATACTTTAAAACTTCCTTCCTTCCTTCCTTCCTTCCTTCCTTCCTTCCTTCTTTCCTTCCTTCCTTCCTTCCTTCCTTCCTTACTTACTTACTTACTTACTTACTTACTTAGAAAATCTGAATTTGGGGAAAAGAAGGATGCAGAAGCCAGGAGGGTAAAGGCAATAGTTGTAAAAATACAGGCAAAAATAGAAGTGATTAAAAACCTGAATACTTGCAAAAAGTCCCCAGAGATGGATATTTACTTTGGAGGACAGAATTCTCTGGGGTAGCTCCCTACCCAGAAAGCCAACTACCCTCAAAAATAAGAACAGAGTATTCATCAGTAACATTCAGAAAGCTGTTGAAAATGTAGCTGTTCAAATAAGGTGCTGGAGATCCAGAGATGTGGTTAAGTAGGCACTTGCACATGTATGGAAATTTTACTGTTGTTTTATGATATTTAAAGTTAGAGGATGTTTAATTATGGTTTATTGAAATGTATTTACATTTTGCTATACCTTATCCATTTCATTATTACTTTACAAGCCTAACTAAAGTGACAAAGATATAGTTGTAATCAGTCAAACAAATACATCCATGTTAAGGCAGCTCCCTGCAAGTAAATTTTCTCCTAAAGTATTTTTAGGCATGTAAGCAGCCAGTACAGGTAGTCCTCAACTTATGACATGTCGCTTAGGAACCATTCAAAGTTACGAAATAAAGGCACTTATGGCCTGGGTGCAATGCTCCAATGGCCACCAACCCTTCCCTGTGATCAGAGCCTTGGTAGTACAGTGGTTTAATGCACCCTGTTATTAACACAGCTGCCTGCAATTTCTGCAGGTTCGAATCTTACCAGGCTCAAGGTTGACTCAGCCTTCCATCCTTTCTAAGGCAGGTTAAATGAGGACCCAGTTTGTGGGGGCAATAAGCTGACTTTGTATAAATATACAAAAGTATGAAGGCTATTGCTTAACGCATTGTAAGCTGCCCTGAGTCTCCGGAGAAGGGCAGCATATAAATCAAATTAAAAAAAAAAATATGACCACGATTTACAATATTTTTGCCAGATACTGTTTTTTACTACTGAATTTCTGCAAACAAAATGCCTATAGTGAAAAATAGCTTTACTTAATGACCACTGCATTCATTTAACAACTGCCACAAAAAAGGTTGTAAAAATCTTATGACCCTAATTGCAGGCTCAATTATGGTCACAAGTTGAGGACTACCTGTATAATCACCAAGGAACCTGAAACGTTTTCTAGAGTTACCTGCTAAAGGTCCTCTATGAGGTAGCTGAGCAGTTAGAAAGTTTGATAAATAAATAAATATAAGTAAATAAATTTATGAAAATCAAAGTTCTTATTCTTTTTCCGTCTTCAAACAAAAACTGACCAATCCGAAACTTTCTTCTACTGTTAAGGAACCTGCTTTGTTCCCAACCAACCTGAGAAGCTTCCACTATGTTAGAAGTAAACTAGGGATGAAAGTATTTCCTGACAACTTGTCTAAATTTGCTATCCTAAAATCTGAACATTGACCTTCATTTAGCACCACCCTTCATGCCACTGTTAATCCTTTTCTTAATGGAAATATTCTGACGAGCTAAATTCTTAAAGCCTGAACAGAGTTTTCAGAAAGAGAAATTCAGCATTTCTTGAGGACTGAATTTGTTGCAAAGTTCAAAAAAGGTCATTTTCCTACCAGGAACTTCCAGTGTCTTCATAGCACCAACCAGCCATCACTGAAATAATATTATTTTCATTTCTGCTATTTTGGGACTCGGGAAGATAGGCTGCTTGTGAAGAAATGACTTTAGAAAGTTCTTTAGTCTTAGGGCTCAAGAACTGGTAGTCCTTGACTTACAACCATTGATTTAGCGACTGTTTGAAGTTACAATGGCACTGAAAAAAATGGCATATGATCAGTCCTCACACATACGACCCCATGGCCATATGAACAAAATTCAGGTGCTTGGAAATCCACATGTAATTACAGTGGTAGCATCCTGGAGTCATGAAATCACATTTGTGACCTTCCCATCTGGCTTCTGACTAGCAAAGTCAGTGGGGGGAAGCTGTATTCGCTTAACAGTCACGTGAATCGCTTAACAACTGCACTTAATAACCGTGGCAAAAAAGATTGTAAAATTGGACACAAGTCACTTAATAAGGACTTTGCTTAGCAACATTAATTCTGGTCCCAATTATAGTTGTAAGCTGAGGACTATCTGGATGTTGAGAAGAGACTGTGGAGATAGGAATGAGGGACTGACTACATTATTGGGGAATTAAGCTTTTTCTAATTATTATAGTTATGGCAATTGCGTTTTCCCAATATAGTATGAAATTTGGTTTCTTACAGTTCTAATTATAAGATTTCAGTTATAAGCTTCCCTGTTACTGGTAAAAAGATCTGCCTCTTTGCCAGATCACAGAAAGATTGTAAGAAAGTCCCTAGGAAGTCTCCACTCTAATATATGTGGTACTTTTGTCTCTCAAAGTCCAGTTCAGTTGCTGGAATTCTTGTAATCCTGTCCCTTCCTTCTGGATAAATCTTACTAAAGAGGAAAAAACAAAAAGGTGCTAGAGAGGAAGTAAACTTACGTTTTTCTCCAGAACTACTAAAGGAAGGGACTGCAATTGCAAACCATTATGATTTCATATCTCTCATGTTCTTCTTCTAAAGAAAAGGTTGCTGAACTATGAGATCATTCAAACCTATATTTACATCCAGGTATCTAATTCCAGAATGAAAAGGCAAATTTCCTTAGATGTCAACTTATATAGAATTTATAAACACCTAATGCCATGGGTTCATTTTACACCACCCTAAGGAAGCTTAAACCCCATTTAGCCAGTGATCTGTGCCCACCACCGCACTGCTGTAAAATGCCATCTGGAAAAGTAATGCGGTACTTACATCCACAATGAGGAAATCAAGCCAGCACCAAGCATTGGTGAAGTACTTCTTAAAACCGTAGGCCACCCACTTCAGAAGCATTTCCAAAACAAAGATGTAAGTGAAGATTTTATCAGCATATTCCAGCATGGTTTTGATGTTCTTTCTTTCGTCCAAGTAGATGTCTTCAAAGGCCTGGGAGAACAAAGTGGCAGATTAAAGCATTTCCCATTGCAGATATTCTTTTTGAAAAGAACAACAGAATAATAAAGTTGGAAGGGACCTTGAAGGTCTTCTAGTCCAACCCCCTGCTCAAGCACGAAACCCTATACCACTTCAGTCTAATGGTTGTCCAATCTCTTCTTTAAAAACTCACAACTTCCAAAGGCAAATTGTTCTCCTGATTAATTGTTCTCACTGTCAGGGAATTTCTCCTTAGTTCTAGGTTGGTTCTCTCTTTGATTCGTTTCCATCCACAGCTTCTTGTCTTGCCTTTAGGTACTTTGGAGAATAGGTTGAACCTGCCACCCCACCCCTCTTCTTGCTATCATGTCACACTTAGTTCCTTCTTTTCATTAAATTAGACATACCTAGTTCCTGCAACCATTCTTCGTGTTTTAGCTCAGTCCCCTAATCATCTTTGTTCCTCTTCTCTGAACTCTTTCTACAGTTGAAAGGGAGCTTGGAAGTCTTCTACTCCAAGCCCTTGCTCAAACAGTAGATCAGTTTCCAACCCCAGAGTGTTGCATATTTTTCTTTGACCAACATTTGTTTTCCATTGTCTTAGTCAGAGATCCTACTTACCTACTGATACCGGATCATCTCTAAACTTGGTTGTCCATCCTTAGCAACTTTAAAACTTGTGGACTTCAACTCCCAGAATTCCCCAGCCAGTCATTCTGGGAGCCGAAGTCCACAAGTTTTAAAGTTGACAAGATTGAACACTTCTGATCTAAACTGAGATGCTTGGAATTCTTCAACTAAGGGAGAGAATTCAGGGCCTCTAATTAACAACTCATCCTCAAATTAAGGATTTCCTGAAATGAAGTATTCATCCCTATATGCCAACAAAAGACAATTGTGAATCTTGACTCTGTCTTCAAAACCAGCAATGGGTAGTGTTTTCCATCATATCCAAGAGGAACCACATACTGAGATGATAACACAAATCACATGTATTATTTTTTTTTTTAAAGGAGAGGAAATTGTAGGTTTTATATTTACCAAAGCTCCGCTGCTGAGAAGAATCATGAAAATGATGAATGTCTCAAACCAACTGTGTTCAACGATTTGATAGCAGGTTTTCCTCAGGCGCCACCAAACTTTGCCAGGGAATTTTGTGACATCCACTGAACAGCATGGGAGAATCTGGACACAAGCTAAAAAAAAAAAAAGACAAAAACCCAGAAGAGTTACTTTAATATTGAAATTAGTATAGGAATTCCATTGGTGGCTCCACTTTAAAAGCATGATTGGTTTGCAATATAGCTAGTCCTCAACTTACGACCACAATTGAGTCCAAAATTCGTTAAGTGAGACATTTGTTAAGTGAATTATGTCCCATTTTGCATCCTTGCCACAGTTGTTCACTGAATCACTGCAGTTGTTAAGTTAGTGATACAGCTGTTAAGTGAATCTGCTTCCCTTTTGACTTTGCTTGTTGGAAGGTCGCAAAAGGGGATCACATGACCCCAGGACACTGCAACCGTCATCAATACAAATCAGTTTCCAAGCATCTAAATTTTGATCATGTGACTATGGGGATGACTCAAAGGTCATAAGTGTCAAAAATTATCGTAAGTCACTTTTTTCAGTGCCATTGTAATTTTGAACGGTTGCTAAATGAACTGTTGTAAGTCAAGGACTACTTGCAGTGAAGTAGGATAGTGCAAACTAAATTTAGCTTTATTTATTTATTTAGCTTTTGTGCCACCCATCCCTCCTAGAGGTGAATCTAGGCAGCTTACATTCAATAAAAACAATATAAAAGATTAAAACAGTAAGCAGTAACACTAAAAAAAAACAATTTAACATTGACAAAAGATGGGAAAGAAGGCAGCAAGTTGCAAAGAAGGGGGAAGAGATGGGGGAGGGTCTTATTTCAGTCCATTAATCATCTCCAGAATGATGAATGATCATCTACCATCTCCAGTTGGTAGAGCCAGGTCTTCAGACCCTCACAGAAGATCAAAGGATGGGTGCAGATCTCACCTCGGGAGGCACAATGTTCAAAAGGATAAGAGCCTCAGCAGAAAAGGCTCTTCTCCTTGGACCCTTCCAGCCAAAATTCCTTGGCCGATGGTGTCCTCAGCATGCCCCTTCTGCCAGAATCCCATTGGAGTGAGATGGTTCCTCAGACACCTTGGATCCATGCTATCAAGGGCTTTAAAGGTAAGAACCAACACCTTGAATCGGAACCGAAAGCAAACCAGAAACCAATGTAGTTCATGCAACAGGTGTGTTATGGGCCACTTTAGGGGCCTCAAGAACTGTACAGGTAGTCCTCAACTTATGACCACAATTGAGCCCAAAATTTCTGTTGCTAAGCAAGACATTTGTTAAGTGAATTCTGCCCCATTTTACAACCTCTCTTGCCACAGTTGTTAAGTGAATCACCGTTGTTAAGTTAGTAACATAGTTATTAAGTGAACCTGGCTTCCCCATTGACATTGCTTGTCGGAAGGTAACAAAAGGATCACATGACCCAGGGACATTGCAACTGCCATAAATATGAACCAGTTGCCAGCATTTGAATTTTGATCATGTGACCATGGGGATGCTGCAATGGCCGTACGTGTGAAAAATGGTCATGTCACTTTTTTTTTCCTGGCTTGAGCAAGGGGTTGGAGTAGAAGACCTCCTAGGTTCTGTCCAACTCTGTTTTTTTATTATTATTTTTCCGGTAACTTGTAACTTTGAACCGTCAGTAAAAGAACTGTTGTAAGTTGAGGACTAGCTGTATACATCCCTTCCCTTTTTAAATGCATGCCTTAATTTCTTTAGTTTATTACTTCTTATTCCTTTCCTCTGCTCTGTGCAGTGCCGATTCCCAAAGGGGAGCAGAATGACAGGCAAGTACAGGAGTGAAGGACAGACTCCCTGAAGCATAGATATCATAGGTATGTTTTGTTTGGCACCTGGTTTTGTACTGAACAAAGCAAGTTTGAAATTGGGCGATGTGGCTGACAGGCTGTGCATCCTTGGAGCTAAATCAACTATCCTGCCCCTCCGAAGATTGCTGATGAGAACTAACGCCTTACTGGGCTCCAGTTTTCCTAGCTCAAGTTTGCTTACAAATATTTCTTACGATTCATTGGTAACAGATATAACTTTGCTGCAGACCGTGGTAGTGGGCAATCATTCTGGGAATAAAAGCAAGCCTTTTAATGCAATTTAAAAGTAATGCATGCCATTTTCTCATAGATTCTCCTTTTTATCTTTCATTCCCCCTCACAGTCCTTTCCATTAAAGCACAACTATTTCATAGCAGGAATTTTTTTTTTATATGACATCACAATAAAATCTGCTATGGGACAATGGCATATTGTGTGTGTATCTGGGTGGATGGATGGATGGATGAGAGAAAGAGAGTGGAGTGTGTTTTAAAATAGCAGGCTTTTACAGCTATGAGAAAGGAAGATAATGCTAGGTTGTCTTAGAGCGGGAGGCTGTGATCAGACAGAAATATTTGCAGGCGAACTCTGGATATTTTAGAGAACTTCCAAGACCATCCTTTCTCCAGTTATACTTTTTTCGTATAGTTTCCATCACCCTATGTTACCATGAAGTTGAACATTGCAATGTCCAACACCTTCGAAGTTCCCAGACTGAAAATGCCAAGGCGAACAAATAAATACATACTTTTACATGGAAATCTGAAGGGATGGTCAAAAAAAGGAGCCAGACAAGAAATAACGGATGGAAGCTTATCAAAGAGAAAAGCAACCTAGAATTAAGAAGAAATTTCCTGACATTGGGAACAACTTGCCTTCAGAGGTTGTGGGGTCCTCCATCACTGGAGGTTTTCAAGAAGAGATTGTCTCCTGCTTGAGCAGGGAGCTGGACTAGAAAACTTCCAAGGTCCCTTCCAATTCTCTTATTCTGTATTCTGTGTGCTACAACCACAGGTGTCATACATGTATTTGTTCTGCCCCAGCTATGGACCCCAAAGAACGCAGCACACACAAAGTCTGTACAAACCTTAGTTTACTAAATGAAATAAGTTTTTTTTTCTCCAAACAAAGACTGTTAATTAACTTTCTTAACAGCCTACAAGAATCCAAAGAATAAATAATCTTAATCTTACTATGGTTGGCAGAAAGCCCAGAAGCAATTTGCAAAGAACTAAGATCAAGGCACGAAGGAGAGTGAACGAAGTTGTTCCCCGCAAATTGCTTCAGTCAGCATTCCTCCTTAAATAGGCTAAGGGAGTGGTCAATTAGACCCAAGCCTTACTCTCAAGGAGACCTCCTCCTGAGGAGCCACTCCTGCCTTTTGGCAGCTCTGCGCGCCCGTGCATCGAGAAGAGGTTCCTCCTCTTCATCCTCTTCACTTAAGGGAGCTTCTGGAGGTTCTGAAGGCCTCTGGCACCACATCTCCTCCAGCCTCCTCACTGTCCGACTCGAGTGCCAGCTGCACAGGCTGCTGGCGCAGCACCACACCAGCCTCCTCGCTGTCTGAATCAGCCACCAGCTGCACAGGCTGCGTACGGGCCACAACAGTATTGTAAAAAAAAAAAAAAAAAAGGAGGGCTTCTCCCATGTGAGAAGTAGTCACCAGCTTGAATTTTTTGACCCCCTACAGACACCTTACATAGGCTAACCAGTTTGGTTACAAATGGGGATTAGGAAATTAACTTTCAAAATTGAATAGAAGCCACGGAGCATGGAATCAAAATCTACCAAGCTAACCCATGGCTTTCAATTCAGCACCATTAAAACATTTTTCCATGGTCCACTTCTGAGACCGGAAGTAAGTCATGATGAAGGTTTTGGGGGAAACAAAGAAGCAGGACTTTTGGAAGGTAAGCAAGGGAAAAGTGGATTTGTCTTCCAATCAATTCTTTGGAATCATGTCCCGCCCACCTCTAGCTTGCCAGTTGCACCACGTCTCTAGAGATGTCACTACAGAACATTGCCCTTAGCTTCATTTTGGTCACCATATTTAATGGCGCAAAGATAAAACATCAGACGCCTTTTAAAGAAAGGGACAATTCCCTAGGTGAGCCTGTCAAGAATCATGATGCGTTACTGGGTTCAGGCTAGTCTGGAGGTTCTTCTTGAAAACCCCCAGTGATGGAGCATCCACAACTTTTGGAGGCAAGCCATTCCACTGTTTAATTGTTCTCAGGAAATTTCTTGATTCTACGTTGGATCTCTCTTTAATGGTCTTCCATCCGTTATATCTTCTCCTGCCCTCAAGTGATGACAGGAATTTTAGATGGAAAATTTTCTTCCCTCGTCTCTCAGTTGTAGGGCCATTGATTGCTGCCCTCAGCAGTTGTTGTGCACTCCTAAGCCAACCTTTTGAATAACTTTGTGTAGTGTTTGTTGTTGTAGGGAGGGAGCTCTGGGGTTCCCATGACTTAGTCTGAGGAAGGGGCTCTTGCTCTAAGGAAGGTGCAGGGGCCTTCCTGTGGGTGAAGGGGCCTCACCCACTCTACTTTCATTTCATTGTAATGGAAAAATCTAAGGGAAACTGAATGGGCAAATGAATCCCAAAGATAGTCAACGATAACATCCTTAATTTTTGAATAAATATGTCGTCTGCATGTTCATGATATATGAGATTCCAGGTGATTTCTTCCAGTGATTTCAGATAGTAACACATGGAAGAAAAGTTCTATGGAATCAATAATTCATTTTAGAACACATCAAAGGTCCCACCATCATTTTTTGAAAATGGTCGTCTAAGGCAGACCAGGGAAACTAAAACTGTCTTCTATAAAAGGATCTATCTCCTATAAAATGATTGTCAGGTTTTGATGTCATCTCAAATAAATTGCACTCCCAAACAATTAATCTTTGCTGAAATATTCCATTTATTGAGTACGACAGATCTGGCCCCGACTTCGTCGTAGCCGATACTAACCCTCTGACTCCCAAACCCTTCCCTTTCTGTTCCCCAATTCTCATCTTCTCATTGGCCATCTTCCAAGTCAGCCTCCCCAGCTTCTGACCTCACCCCACAGGAATGTCCCCCCTCCCATCCCATCTCCTAGGGGATATTATCTACAGAGAAAATAAGTAGGTGAAAAGTCAAGCCTCGTCTCCTCCTTTTTATGGCAGCATCAGAATGCTGACATCGATGTCTTAACAAAAATTCTTGAAGCTATTGAGTAATCTAATAGCAGAAATGGAAAAGCTCTGTTGTCAAATTC